ATTACAGTATGCATTATTTTCAAAACTTGAAATCCATATTTTTCTCATGACCATACATGTTGATGTCGAGATGATCAATTTGAGGATATTTGGACATCAAAACAACCTCTTCTAATGAAAGTTTTGAGATGTGCTCTAATTTGATTGTTTAAAGCCTCGCATTTATAATAAAGAGAAAGGTTTCTATACTTTCCATACAACATAATTCTCTCCTCCTCTACAATTAACCATACAATTTAGATCAAGTGAGCCACTGACTGTTTGATCTAGATTTGACACCTCAAAGTATTTTATTTTGTTTTTTTATACAAATTTTATGAATATGTAGCATCATCTCGTTGGTGCACCTAAAAGAAATATTAAAACTAATTTTTGATATAATATGATGACCAAAATACCTCCTTAAAATTTTTAGGGGTATTTTGATCATTTTATTTTATTGAGAATATTATTTGTATATTTTTTACTGTTGTGACTTTAAGAGAAGAGTGGACAACTAAAATTTGGTGTAAAAATAGTTTATAAAAAAAATATTAAACATAAAATAGTATAGAGACTTGGCATTGTGAATGCCATCTTAGCCATCCATTCAGAATGAATGGTTGGGTAGGGGGAAGCATATAAGTTTTATGCCTTAGGGGACAATAGAAAGGGTCTTTTTTTAAAAAAAAAAACCATATAATTAATAAATTTACTATTCACAATTCATTCTATCATTAACATGTGTAATTTGAGGAATTGTGGATGGTAGATTATTCTTTAAAAAATTAATAATTTTCACATATTTTTCATGCCTTTTCTTCAGGAGATCTTAGGGCCCGCTTAAATTCTTGGAAAAAAGATTTCCTGAAAATATTTTTCTAGAGAGGTTATATATTTCCGCAGTCTGGATCCAAAATATAGGTCCGAATCATCATATCTATAGTTTGAACCCAAAACATAGAAAACAATTTTCTTCTAACAAGCCTAAAAAATATTTTTCCCCTTCCAGATTTCCACAATCGGCTGAACTTCAAAAATTAAAATGAGCCTAAAACGGTCAAAAACCCTATCTCTTTCTTCCTATTTCCCTAGAAAGGAAAAGATAATGCACAAGATTATATGGTCCGTTCATTCTAGGGGCCTGTTTGGGTACATGGATTTTAAAGCATGGATTCCTAATATTTTGGATATTGTTAAAATCTATCATTTGGATTGCTTAATGACTAGAATACTTAAAATCAAGAATATCAAAATCATGGAAATAAGACTTACTTTTCTATAATTTCTTTTCCATACCAAAACATGTTTTTTTGCATTTCCAGGATTTCACTAATTGGCTCCCTTGACCCAAAACATAGGTAGCATTTGGTACATGAAAAATTTAGGAAAAGAGTATCAAATTTTTTTAAAGAGAGAAACTATCTCAAAATTTTTAGAGAGAGAGAGAAACTCTCGCAAATTTTAACATTTAGAGACAAAAAGTATGTTAAAATTTTAGATAGAGAAAGTATCAAATTTTTTAGAGAGATGAACTATCTCGAAATTTTAGAGAGAGGAACTATGTCAAATTTTAACTTTTAGAGCGAGAAAATATGTTAAAATTATATAGAGAGAAAGTATGTTAAAATTTTCGAGAGAGAATACCAATTTTTTTTAGAGAGATAAACTATCTTAAAATTTTAAAGAGATAAATTATATCAAATTTTAAGTTTTAAAGAGAAACTATCATATTTTAGAGAGAGAAAGTATATGTAAATTTTTAGAAAGAAAATTTTAAAGAGAATACCTAAAAAGTTTTAAAGATAGAAACTACCTCAAAAACATTTAGAGAGATAAACTATATCAAGTCATAAGTTTTAGAGAGATAAATTATTCTTAAACTTGTAGAGAGAGAAAGTATTCTTAAAATTTTCGAAAGAAACTATTATAAATTTTAGAAAGAGAAACTGCCAAAATTGTTTAGAGAGACATCTCCTTTTTTAGAGAGAGAAACTACTTTGAATTTTAGAAAGAGAAAATATATTAAAATTTTACATATAGAGATTATATCAAATTTTAGATAGAGAAACAACTTAAAAAATTTTAGAGATAGAAACTATCTCAAAATTTTTGGAGAGAGAAACTATCGCAAAATTTATGTTTTAGAGATAGAAAATATCTTAAAATTTTAGAAAGAAAGTATTTACATGAAATTTTTAGAGAGAGAGAACCTATCTCAAAATTTAAGTTTTAGAGAGAGAAGTATCGTAAATTTTAAACTTTAGAGAGAGAAAAATATATCAAATTTTTGAGAGACATTGTACCATTTCAAAATTTTAGTGAGAGAATCTTTCTAAAACTTGAAGTTTCAGAGAGAGAAAGCATATTAAAATTTAAGAGAATAAGTATATCAAATTTTAGAGAGTGAAAATACATAAAAAAAAATTAGAAAAAGAAACTATCGCAAATTTTTTAGAGAAATTATCTCAAATTTTAGCTTTGAGAAAAACCATATCATATTTTAGATAGAGAAACTACTTAAAATTGTTTAGAGAGAGAAACTATCTCAAAATTATTGAAGAGGGGAACTATCTCAAGTTTTAGGTTTTAAAGAGAGTACCTTAAAATTTAAGAAAGAGAAACCATGTTAAATTTTTGAGAGAGTAAGCACCTAAAAATTTTAGAGAGAGAGATTATCTCAAAAATTTTAGATAAACGATTCAAATTTTAAATTTAAGATAGAATGTATATTAAATTTTAGAAAAAAACCATAGCAAATTTTAGAGAGATAAACTATCTCAAAATTTTTATAAATACACTACCCCAAATTTTGAGTTTTAGAGAGAGAAAGTATATAAAATTTTTAGAAAGATAAATTTTATCAAGTTTTGTTAGCAAACAATGGACATGGAAGTGATTGCAAAGAATTCATGAATTTTATATAGTGTATCCAAACAAAAGATTTGAGGAATCCATGACAAAAATCCATCATATTGAAATCCATAGGTTTCTTTGAATTTCAAATATCTAAGATTCCTAATTTCCTCCTATCCAAACGGGATAAATAATTTAAGGACCTAAAAGATTCTTAATTTCCTCCTATCCAAACGGGGTAAATAATTTAAGGACCTCAAATTTTGGGGTCTAAATACCTTACAAAAGCAACTAATCAAACAAACTCTATGCACAAGTTAAAAAAGGTCTACTAATCAAACGCACTCTACGCATACCTAAAAAAAACAAAAGCTTTTTAAGATTGAATAGAGAATATCCAATTTTTGACTTATTAGATCTTCCAGTTGAAACCTAAAAGTAATTTCTTATTATTACCCCGAGGGTGTTATGTATTCCATTGGAGCATCAGGTCTAAAATTGGTATTACAAATCGCAGCTTTAATTGTCACGATCGGGCGGACAATTTAGGTTTACCATTCCTCTTATTAGGTTTACATTGTTGGAAATGTGGCCTTTCATGCTCTTTTTTTTTCTGAAATTTATTTATCAATAATTGTACAAAAACCATATTGTTAGTATATGTGAAATCTTTTGTAGTTGACATGAGGCAATGCCATATACTAGGATCCATTAAAGCTTTTATAGGATGTTACACTAGAGAGAAAACTCAGTGTCACCAGAGGGAAAACCCAGTGATATGTTTGGATTTCTTATAAGAATTGTTTTTCTATAATATAGTTGTACAAAATTATTTAATTTTTAAATATCTTTTTATTAAATTATAGGAATGCTTGGATGACATCTTATTATATGAGTCATTAGTGTACTAATGATATGTTTGACTCATTAATATGATTAATAATTTGTTGACAACCTATTAATCCTAATTAGCTACACTTAAGAGAATTAAGGCAATAGTTCTACTTTGATCTTAACTCCTATAAGCTATGAATGTAAAAGTTAAAAAAAAAAATAGTTCTCTATAAAAAGATGTTTAACCTCTCAAGTAAAGAGAATGATGGAAAAAGGGTGAATGAGATTCACCAAAGAGTACTCTCAACGTAGCATGTCACCAGATGGTTTGGTCTATAGGTTTTGGTATGGAACCATAAGTCCTACATGTGATTTAAAGACAGGTTGGAGTAAATTATTAATCAATTTTATTTATTTATTGATTTTTTTTGGAACAACACTTATGTTAGAAAGTACGAGTTAGTTAAAGTAGAGGGATTGAAGAGGGCAAGAGGTAGGCCCAAAAGAATGTGGTTAGAAGTAGTCCGAAAAGATATGAAGACTTATGACCTCATTGAGGATATGACTTTAAATAGAGTACAATGGTGGACAAAGATTCGACCACAATTAATTGGAAAAAAGCTATGATGACGATGATTCCTTTGATAAGTTTCATCAAATACAAAAATATTTTACCTAAATATTCCACTAAGATACATCAAATAAATGAGGCTGACTATGATTAGGGGTGAGAATTGACCCAATCCGAATCCAAAACCTGGATTTCGAATTCGTATATGGACCCAAAATTTGGAACCGAAATCCAGATCCATACCCAAAAGTCAGGTTCGAATCACTCTTGTCCAGACCCAACAGGGTCACAATCAACCTTGTCAGTCAAACTTTAAAATGGGTGATTGTGAGTGTTATTAATCAAATCTAAAGTACAAAAATATTTCTCGAAATTCATAACGCATCCCAAGCTATCTAATTTGAAATCTAATTGCCGAGAGCGGTCCTTGTAATGAAGATAAATGTCTCGTAGTATATAATCCCCTTTAAATTTGTATTTATCTAGTTACATTAGAAAAGAAAAATGTCTTTATGTGGTCGCAGGTTTTTGTGATAGCTACCGTTATATACTGACTTTCTACATATTTATTTGATTTAATAAGCGAGTATCATCTTAATATTAAAAAAAGGTATCCTAAAAAATACAAAACAAAAAATACTATATAAAGTTAAAATAAAAATTTTACGATAGCGAACTTCGACACAATCAAAATCACCCTCACTAATATTCACAAAGACCATCATAATACATAACAAAAGGCATACTAAACCGGCGTCTATCTTTACATTCAAAAAAGATTTTTTTTAAAAAAAAAAAAGAAAAAAAAAAAAGAAGAAAAAAAAGGAAAATTCTGCCAACTCTTACTCAATTTAATGCCTCTCGGCAGAGCAAAACGTGTGCGACCCCGACGAGCGAATTCTAAAATGCCACGTGTTCCCCTTGGATCCCACCAAATTCTCCTCACACAAGAACTCCCTGGAATACCACATCTCCACCCTCCGATCAACCCCACACACAATCACATCCGTCCATTTCCCTACCCTACCCTTCCTCGCAATCACCCCAGCCTCATAAATCGCAGCCATTGATGATTCGCCACGTGGATCGTCCACCACCACAAGATCCCAATCTCGCTTTCTTACCTCGTTACCGAGCCCACCCATTGCCAGTGGGCACGCACGGCTCGGGCCACGGGGCCCACAACTGGGCTCGGCTCTGGCTCGTTTCAAGAGCTCAAAGGCTTGATCTCTCCGAGCCCAATGGCTCGATTTGCGGAGCACTAGCTTCGGATGGGCTCGATGGGTCTCCTCAATTAGGGTTTGATTGGGTTCGATGAAGAGGGTTTTGCCCATGTGGTTCAGGGATTGGAAAAAGGGCGACAGAGGGGTATGGCCGAAAATAAGGACTCTTTTTGGGGTGGAAAATAGGCGAGAGATTAATGCTAGCTCTTTCGGAGAGACGTGACGAGGGGTTGGGGCGGTGGCGAAGTGGGCTAGGCTTTGGGCTAGCGCAGGTGCGAGCTTGATACAACAACGCTCACCAGTGGGTTCAGGGTGGGTTTGAGTGGGTTTGCTTTGGTGGGTTAGAAGTGGTCCGATGTGGGTTTGAACGGGTGCGGTGAGGTGGGTTCGAGACGGGCGGATTGACGAAATGCGGAGGAGGCGGAGAAGAGAGAGAGCGGAGAGAGTGAAGAAGAGGAGAAGGAGAAGGGTGAATATGGTCTTGTTTTGGGACAACATGGCTACTACCCCAACCCAGTATTTTGAGAGGCAAGGTAACACACACTCTCTCTCTCTAACTAATTATCTGCTCTAATCAAATGGATGGGTGAACTGGATCTTTCCATTGACTAAATTGGTTTCTCTCTCTAACTAATTATTTGTTGTAATCTAATGGGTGAACTGGTTCTTTCCATTTGAGTAAATCTCTCTCTCTCTCTCTCTACATAAGCTGGCCTTTCTCTCTCTTCCACTGAAGCTGGCCTTTCTCTCTCTTACCGTGAAGCATAATAATATATATGTGCAGAGTAGGTTGATTGAGTAAATTGGAAGGAGCGTAGGTTGGGGCGCATCATTTAGGGTTAGGTACCTACCAAATGAACCTAAAAACCTAGACACCATTCCATTTGTAGGGGAAAATGGTTTCATGCGGGGTGGACCGCATTGCTACAGTATGCAGTCCAAAGGTATGAATCATCCGGATTCAAATAAGTAGGTTTAATTAAAAACAACTCTAACTAACCGTTCAAATGTTTTTGTAATATAATTATTATTTTTGGTTTTCAAATTTTTTTTTTTTTCATATTCATGATCTCCTTGTTAAAGATTATATATCTTTTAATAATTAAGGTCATATTATATTTAAAAATATATTTTATTTAACAAACTCATATTTTTACAATATGTGGGCTTGACCGCATAGAAACCGGATGGGTCCATCGGATGTTGGTTGAATCAGAAAAGAACAACGTGCGAAGAGAAATTTATGGACCCCATTCATTTGGGGACATTTTATAGATTTTTTGTCACGGATACGGTTTTTATATTGCGAGGTTTTATAAAAAAAATAGGATAAAATAAAAAGGCCGTGTTTTAAAACTTTATTTGCCAAGTAACCTGACCATCTAGAAAACGAGGCTCAATCGGCAAAATACTGATTTGAATCGACGATCCGACTAATTCTTTGGATGAGAATCAATCAATAAAAATTAAAAAAAGATAAAAGATAGAAATAATAAAAAGTATAAATCACGGGATCACCCTATTCTCTAAATCAAAGTGAAGCGGACTTTCAAATAGTATCGAGAAATGTGATTTCAATACTGGAAATTTTTGCGATAGACATAAAATATATTTTCATCTTTAATTATAAAATTAAAACCTTCAAGAATAGTATAGATCGAGCAAATATATGAAAACTAAAAAATCTTGAAAACTAATTATCCAAAAATGCATTACAAGATGTCTTATTTCCAATATTTAAAATCCAGTTTTTTCTCATGTACATGCATTTTGATGTCGAGACGATGAATTTGAGGATATTTGGGCATCAAAACAACTTCTTCTAGTGAAATTTTTGAGGTGGGCCCTTGTTTGATTGTATAAACCACCTTTGGGGGTTTATAAGCTTAACTTTGATGGTAGCTCATTGGGTAACCCTGCTCTTGCTGGTTTTGGAGGGGTTCTTTGGGATTTGAAGGGTAATGTAATCTTCTCTTGTGCAAGGCCACTTGGGGTGGGGACTGCGAATTATGCAGAGATATTTGCCCTTCTCTTTGGCCTTCATTCCCTTGTGAAGAGGAAATTGGGGACTTCTTACATTTTTTAAAAGGATTCCCTCAATGTTGTAAAATGGTGCAAGGGGATCAGAAACTTCTTTGGGAGTTGAAATCTTTGTTATTTCAGATTTTGGATCTCGCCTCCTCTTTTTCTGTCTCTTTTGTTCATGTGTATAGGGAGGCTAATGTGCTAACTAATTCTCTGGCCAAAGGAGGTTCTACCCTCTCTGAAGCCGTTATTTTGGATTCTGTAATCTCGTTCTAGATTAATAATATCTTTGAACTTTCTCTCAAAAAAAAAAAAAAAGTACCTCAGCTCTATATAAGCATTTTCCATATATATATATATATATATATATATATATATAGAGAGAGAGAGAGAGAGAGAGAGAGAGAGAGAGAGTAGTAGTACGTACGACGACGAGAGTACTAGTATATAATAATAACTAACTAACTATATATTAGTAGTAGTAATAGTAGTAGTTAGTACTAGACGACGTACTACTTAT